AAAACGCGTCCCTTTTTGGGGGACGCGTTAAATATAGATTTTATACATCTAAAATTACATTATTCATGTTATCCATGTTCATGTTTCATATTCATGTTATCCATTTGTAATTTTAACAGATTTGTTTAGATTTTTTGTAATTTTTAACAGGAAAATATAAGGTCGGTTTTTTTTAAAATTTTTTATTGTTAAATATAGATATGAAATGCATACATTTTTAAAAAAATAATGATATTGAATTTGAACAGATTTGTTTAAATTTTTTGTAATTTTAACAGATTTGCTTAGATTTTTTTGTAATTTTTAACAGGAAAATATAAGGTCGGTTTTTTTTTATGCTTTTTTGTGTGTTTTTTATGCTTTTTTATGTTGTTTATGCATTTTTTAATGGTTTTTATTCATTTTTTAAAGATTTTTTAAGGCGCTTTTTTTGTAATATAAAAAGTGTACCATACGTGCCCATATACTACTAACGTATAACGTTTGTAAACTTTATGATGTATAAATTATATGATTAAGAATATCAATATGCAGAACACTATTATAGGTAGTAGGTGCCTATACGATACAGCTCCGTTTTCAAGGCAACACCCAAAAAATATTTTAAATATATTGCCTTGAAAACGGATGTATATCGTATAATATTTATAACGGTGCAGGTTAGGTTAGGTTAGGTTGTACTACAGTGTCCTTCTCAGTCTTTCCAAAATGCTAATTGTTTAAAATAATCCTTTCCTTACATCACTATAGAAATCAGAATAATTAATTCAATAACACCAATTTTCTAGCGTGTGCGTTGTCGCGTTATTAACGTGGCCCAATGTACGTTTATATTATTATCATTTAAAATTTGCTATCGGAGTAAAGGAATAAATATGATTTTTGGCCGACGACGTTAAATGAATAAGACAAGATATCGGTAACCATGATTATTCAATCAACATTTATACCGTTAAATGATTCAATAAGCATAATGTTTATTATTTGTCTATGAGTATAATATTTGTCATTTCAAGAACCGGATAATAAGTTTCGCCGTTAAATAACAAACGTGCACAGCGTTTAGGGTAAGGTTGAGGCTTAAAACTATTGTCTATTTATTACTATGGGTACCTATATAATGAGTAATGGCTCATAATATATTATATATCTTATGTAGGACAATCTTGGTTAAATCATTAGCAACTCATAGGTACTGCAAATCAAAGCTGGGCAAGTTAGTCATTTTTTTCAACTAGTTGAAGTTATGTTACTTTAATAAAAAAAACTAACTAAGTTAGAATATAAGTTAGTTTCTGAAACTGTCCAAATTTCTAACTTAATTAGTTAGAAGTTAGTTTGATGAAAATAGTAACTTAAGTTAGAGTAAAAATTAGAAGTTAGTTTTTTTTTTAGATTACAAAACCTTTTTGTTGAAATGTAAATAATAAGTTATCTAACATAAATTATTGATTAAAACTGAAAAATTAAATTAACCCCTAGTAATTTGATCAAAATGTTCTAATTAGGTAAGTAATAATTTAAATTAGTTGGTATATCACTTATCAGTTATTAGAACATAAAGGGTAAAACAAAATAAAAAAAATATATAACAGTATGACAACTTAAAATATTAATTAAAATTAAAATATTCATTTTGGAATGAAAAAGATAATAATAATAATAACTAGTTAGTTTTTTTTCTAACGAGTTGGACAAGACTATTTTACACACTAAATTCAACTAGTTACGTTACAACGTTAATATGAATTAAAACTAACTAGTTAAGTTAGAAAGTTACTTAAAAAAGTAACTTTCTAACTTAACTTTAACTTTCTAACTAGTTAGTGCCCAGCTTTGTTGCAAATGTCGAGGAATGGTACTTCACAAATATCGGATGATATTTTGGTAAAAAAAATTCGTAGACTCGACCATCTTTTAACTCTGAGCTAGAAAAATTCCATGGGTTAAGTATTTACGCCGATGGCATCTTACCTGCGGTACAGTAATAATATGTGTGACTTACTGGGAAAGTTGATTTTACCCAAACTGAATTTCAAACTTACGGAATAAATGTATTCATGTAGGAACAGTATAAATTGGTAGTACCTAAATATGCGGTAAAATGGTTCTATTGGGGCACCCGTAGGTTTCTGCCATGCCCCGGAGTGGGGAATGGCGGCACTTGTTCTCCGGACACCGTGACTTGCCCTAAGAAAAATGCCGCCCGGTGACCAAGGATCGAACCCGGATCGGCTCGCCGCAGCCGATGCGTTGGACCGTTCGGCCACCTCGTCCCTGTACTAAAAAAAAAAAAAAACTATTAATAAGTAATAACCGCATATATATATATACATATTACATAATATGTACAAATGTCACTAATCTTACAAAAACATATTTTGATTATACCCATGTACTTATGTAAAATAAACAATAACAATTTAATATGGAACAACAAGGTATCATAGGTCAATACTATAAGTAGAACCCCCATTTCGATATTCAGATCAGTCTGTTCATACTAGCCAATACTGCCTCATACAGTTTTCATATGCACAGTCTTATTTCGCTACCAAAATTGTAAAGCGATTATTAACTTAACGTATTCATTCAAATCATATAATATCGTGTTGTGAATTATTAAAATAACTTTTATTTCAAACCAAAATTGTACTTACATTATTTCAAGAAAACTAACATCGTCAATACTCTCTTTTAAATTCATCATTGTTCAAGTCAGAAACATCAACCAGGTAAGAAATCATAAATAATATATACTCACACAATTCAACAATACAAATATCATCAACGAGAAGTTAATAAAGACGCGCAGACGCGGGTGTTTCTAAATCGTTATAGCCTTCGTTTACAAATCTATACTCAGGATCCCAATCAATCGTAATAATTATATGCTTTAGTTTATATTGTTTGTAATAAAAGATAGGATAAAGAAAGTATACGTTCTAAATCCCTTTAATTACCAATATTATAAAACGTATTGATAAAATACGCACTTATGTTATTCTGTATCTCTTGTATGTTATCAAGATTTCCTACTCTTCCGGTGGATTTTCCAATCATTTTCTTTCATAGAAACTTTCTCCGTGATATACTCTTTCGTTTGAAAAAAAAAATCAAGATGATCTGATAAGTAGTTTCAGAGTTTACCCTGTAGGTAGATTTTAATTTCACATTTATAAAGTCAGATTGGTCTCGTTTCGTATTTAAATATTAATAAATAAATCACCTTGCACTAGATGTAGTTCAATAAATATTATGGACAGTAAGAAATAACTAAAATTTGAGATATTAAAGTATAATTATATACAATTATATAGGTAGTTGGTTTTATTCTGTTATACGTAAGTATAATATTATGATATGCCTATGAGCCATAAATTAAGATAAATGGTTACCCATAAAAAAAAAAAAATGTTTTGAATGATTATTAATTTCAGATTAGCGACGGTAGCGTTATAATTTGCCAAACATTGGCTGGTGGATGGTCATGACTTTATATACAGATATACATAATTATTAACTAAAACATTATTTTCATAGAAATGAACAAAATTGATTAGATCAAATCATTAAAATGCATTGAGTATTCATATTCAAAAATTAAATTGAGCTGGTAAAATGATATAATTGCGTGTATTGAGTATTCGCATTAGGTGCTTAAATAAATCACAACGAATTTCTTTCGACCTTGAGAGTTTTAGTCAATTAAGTATAAAAGGTAGTCACTTTTGTAATTTATGTACACTGTACCTACGCAATTACTTAGTCTGTGGCTTTTGCCTTTCATACCAAGTGCTTAAAAGTTAAGGTTATAACTTTAGAGAAATTAATTTAAAGTCCTTTTCAATAGAGTTAATAGATGTATTGAGTCGAAAGGACGCCGGAGGTGATTTAGAAATTTTCTACAAAATGTTCAATACGTTTTTTCATTAAAATTATTTATTATTTAATATTGACATTAAAAAATTCAAGCCTATTAGTTTGTTTGAATATTATATTGGTATGTAATGAAACACACACATTTCAAGTAGAAATTATTTTTATTTCCATATTTATTCGGTTAGTAAAAAGGACAAAATAACGTTATTATTCAATTACCTATAACACGATTAATAATGTTATCCTTTGGTAACTCATCCATGTTCAGTTGGTATGTTGCAGTTAAACGCTTGATTATGAATGATAAGTACTTACACGTTTTTTATACATTATTAGAAAGTCGTAAATAATGTATAATAATTGATATACAATTATACATATAGCGTACTATTCAGTATCAACTAAAATGTTTATAACGGAGAAGATCACACACACCATCGTCCATCACCACCAGCACACTGCAAGATCTACCACATCAAAAGTACATAGGTAGGTACTAGGTACAGTGATAGGTAATATAAAACCTAAGAAAAAGATTTTTAATATTAATCTTAAAAGAGTATAATAGGTGTTGGGTGCACCTCAACATTTTAATATGAATTGAAAAGTTGGTTTTTCAAAATATAGAGTTTTTTTTATCAGTATTGATAGTAAGATAAACCTATCATATAAATGTAGGTACCTACCTATATGATATATATACTTATATTAAATACCTTCAAGTGTCGTGGTCGTCTTACAATTTTTTACTACAATAGAACACGATTGCAATTCTTATTTTTTTTCACAACAATAAATTAGTCACAGTTTATTTATAATAATGGTATATATGTTTCATCCAATTGTTACAACAAGCGATGTCTATATCTGAAGAGATTTTCTCCAGTTTCACTAATCGAAAATTCATATCACGTGGCATGATTAGTTATAACTTAATATTTTATTATCTTTCGTATTTTATAAATATAATTTTTAAGTATGTTATGTTTGATAGAGGTTTATGTGATTTATATAAAAAAAATTCTGTTTTTGTACAAAATAAATAACATGTTTTGAAGGGTGTTGACGGACGAATCCATTTCTCGAATGACTCCAGTTTGGTACACCATCAGATTCCCTTATTCTCCAGTCATCATTTCCATGAATTCTAAAAACAAAGTTTCGATTGATGCATGTTTAATACTTGTTTTATAAATTAGAAAACAGGTAGTTATCATTGATTATTAAATGTAGGTATAATACTAGTATTATATTTAAATCGCTAATCGAATAAACTACCTACTAAACTACTTCATACGACTCTAGTCTAAACTATTTTACACATTACAATACAATACTATACAATAAATGATTTATTTCGATGTTTTAATAGTTAAATACAATAATTATCAACAAAAAACCAGTACCTTACTGTGAGTGCTCAAAACCTAGACTCTATGTCAGTCTTTAAATTATTTATTTTCATATTGCATCTTCAAGTTTTTGAATACTATATTATAATATTCAAAATAAAATAATTATTTTTATAAACAGAAATGTGCCTGGTCTACATAGATCGAGTAAGTACAATACCAATGAATTTCGTTTATAAATTGAAACTTTAATATTATATTCTATTGACAGACATAATATAATGAAAATATTAAAATTGAAAATACTTTCTATATTTTTTTGATGAATTTTAAGTGTTAACAATAGATACAGAATGTTCATTTAAGGTTATAGCTTATAGTTGTAAGCCATACACACATTTTTCAAACGAAAGTGAGAGTTAAAAATGAAAGTATATTGGTATTTAGATTGATAATCATGATTGAAATCTATAGTTGTATAGGTATTATGAATTGGTTTAAAGGTATGTTTTGATTGTTAATAATAATATTATATACTGGGTCTGGGGTATAGAGGGAGATTTCAGATTTTTCTTTAAAGCTTATATCAAATTGATATTATTTGACTGAACAATTGAATATATATTAATCTTAACACTAATAACACCTCGCGAATCTTTCTTTTGAACTTACCGTCAAAATCTACTGTTCCTGAACCATCGGAATCAATTTCGTCAATCATCATGTCCAATTCTTCGTTGGTCAGCTGATCGTCGAGCTCTCTCAAGATTTCTTTCAGGCATGATGTAGGAATATAACCATTTCCTTCTTTGTCGTACAACCTAAAAGCTTCACGGAGTTCTTTTTGCATGGCTTCATCGTCTTCTTCGACGATGAACTTAGCAGCCAATGTCACGAATTCGTCAAACTCCAAACGTCCAGATTCTTTAAATTTAATTTATATGCGAGTTGTATTTAAAAAACCGAATTATTAAGAAATGAAAAAAAAAAAAAACATTTACTGTCTGCGTCAACTTCTTCAATAAGTTCTTCGAGAATCTTCTTGTTGAAAGGCTGTCCCATAAGTCGTAAGATATCGGCCACCATATCTGTGGGTATACTTCCAGAACGTTCGCGATCGAATGCATCGAAAGCTTTCCTGAGGACTGAATATTAATCGCCAATTAAAAATGTTTTCTTTGAAATTTAATGTTATAATGGCAATACTTTCAAAGTATAATTTTCCCATCTTTCTTAACTATTATATTATACGTATAGATATATACATATTATAGTAAAAACTGGTTATTCGTACTTCATGGTAATCTACAAATTTATTATTACCATCTAATAAAAATTAAAATATAATATGAGATAATTTCCATTTACCGACAACTATTTAAATAATATGGGTTGCTATTAATTTTATTATGGATAAGTATATCCTTAAGAAATAATAATACATTCGCATAATCTATTAAATGGTTTTGCAATTTACGTGAAAATCATGATTTTTCAGGTCTCAAAAGTTGATTTTGATAATTTAATGATTCCAGAAATATTTTTAATCTGAGCTGTGATCATTTTTAAATTGAGACTTAAATGCATCGTAACATGTTTTTTTTAGGAACTGTCCATATATTTATTATTTATATTCATTCGATCTTTGAATGCTGTTTTGATAAATTCAGTATAAATTTCAACAATAATTATCTAAATTTATCGAGCGAGTATTCAAAGGGTGTGTCAAAGCGACTTATATCAATATTTACGCCATTAACATAAGTAGGTAGATATCCATAGCACTTATTTATATCATATTAAATTATTATCATAAATGCATATTTTGATATTGCAAAATATATTTTACCTAAATAATATGATTTAAAAAAATATATATATTCTCAAAAATATCTGAAATTTTAATCAAAACACATGACATATAATACATGACGTAATCCAATACAATAAAAAAAACCATATGTACAATAACTACCTATTCTCTCATTTCAAGAACTTTATATAACTTAGTTCAGCGTCTCTCAACCTAACCATCTACACAGTTTTTTATGTACCTACCACTTGACGAAATAACCTTTTTATTGCCTATTAAAAATGTACACGTTATTTTACATATTGTATGGCATTTTGTTTTATTAGGAACTACAAAATTATGACAATATAAGCATTTAATTCACAATGAGAAAATGAAATATATAAAATTATTATTTATATTATTATTAATATCAAATAGACTAAATAATATTTAATGTAAGTAATGAACCATTCCATTTTTTTTTATAAAGGAAGATTTTCTAGGGCGTACCACCTATGAGCTTTTGGAGTACCACTAGTGGTACGCTTACCACAGGTTGAGAAACGCTGACTTAGTGTTTTGAGTATGGTTACAAAACAAAACGTAACAATTTTTGACAATACAAAGTCATTGGTAAATTAAATATTAAAATGGATTTTTAGGTATAAGTAGACAAATATTGGTATATTTAGGGTTAATAATCATTAGTCATATATTTTTTTATTGTTTAACACATTTTTATTAAAATATTAAAGCATATCAATACAATATATATAATATATATATTTATATATAATATATAGATATATAAATTATGTCTAGGTAATAAATATATTTTATGACATAAATAAATTGATCAAACTAGTTTTGTTTTTAATTTATAATTGGTCAAGTATAGGTACTAATTATAAATATAATTTTTAACAGTTTTACTGAAATACAAACCATTTATAAGGACACTAAGTTTACATTAATATTATCACAAATTAAAAATTGAAAATAATTGACAAAATAAATGAAAAAAAAAACATCAGCTATTTATTTTTTATTTTTAATGATCTTAATAATACATAGGAGACTAGGCCATTATTATATTTAAATTAAAGATATTACATCTAAATACATCAAATTTATATTATCAGCTATCTATTAGCTTATATTATATAAATGTGTAGGAAAACAGTAATATAAATTGAAGATTATAATAATATAAAATGTGTAATATATTTTGTATTGTTGTTATCTAGGTATTGAATGTGTATAGGTAGGTAATGAATCTAGAAAGTTGTGGATCAATAATTTTTATTTTATTTTATTTACTTATTGTTTTAAAATATTTGTCTCGATTTGTTTTTGTGTAAGTCCTAGGAGGACTGAGGAATGTTTTTACATTAAATAATAGTTTTTCTTTCAGATGCGTTATAAATGGTTTATACTGCGTACTTTTGTATTTTATGTATTATGATAAATGTTTATAGTTACATATTATATTATATATATACATTGTATATATATATGTATATTTTAAATAATTACTTCAATAACATACATAATTCATTTAACTAATTACGTATCTACCTACTTTCATTTTAATTCGTCCGTATACAAAACTACAAACATTTGGAATATAAATTGACTTGTTAAACAATAAAAATTAATCTTAGCGATATCGGAACATATTTCGTGGACTACTATGTAGTCTATAGGTACTCTATAAGTTAATATACATAACAATATAAATAATATTCTAATAATTAATTATTTTATTCATTATAAACTATATAGGGACTATGCACTATGGTTCTAAAATTAATGAGTTTTTTTTAAATATAGGCAATCTAACTATACAATGGCTATGTTTCAACTTAAAGCAAATAAACTACTTATTAACGTCAATTAATGTTGGTATTTTATTATATTTAATTAATAATATGGAATAATATTTCAATTGGGTATGTTCATGAAATTAAAAATTATTTTACAATTTTATATTTTTTTATATTGCTTATTTGTGTTTTTTTTTCGATGTAAAAAAGGTAATAAACATTTTCAAAACATAATATTTAAATTGCAAAAGCAAAATTTAATCAAGCAATATTTAAGTTGCAGACATATTACGTTATAGGTATTACGCATTTTGGTCGAAATGTTGAAGTTACAAAAATAATTATATAATTGTAATTTAAATTGGTAACAAAACAAGCAGGAATGCCAGGAACTTAGTTGACAATGACAATTAATGTAATTAAATAAAGTTTGGATTAGTGAAAAAACACAAATAATATGAGGCATATTAATAATATGGTAAAAAAATATGTGGTTTTTTGAAACCGTTTACACCACAATCGTATACTGGCTAAGCGATAACCACCGTCAAAACCTGGGAATAATAAAAATAGAAACTAAATAACTAAAAAATAGGTAAATTAATACACACAATGTTTCTATTTTGTATTACTTTTGATACATTTTTAAAAGTTATTAAAATAATAGTAATGGTTGGCATATTATAATATTACCAATGTAATATCAAACAAATTTACAAAAATTAACTATCTTATGGATACCTACATAATAATATATTATTATCTGTATAGGTAACACGATTATATATACCAACTTTGAAAAATATTCTAAATTATTTAATTTTCAATACCAGCAATATATTGCTCAATAGAACAGGAAGTAGTTGAACAAAATTCTACCTCTGCATATTATATAGGATGTATATTTAAGATTATCTATGGGTTACCTATACTCCATGTGAATAATCAAATGTACTAAATTATAAGAAAATATGTTAAGATTTACATACTATGTATCCAAATAATTATTATTCTATTTCAGTTCAATATTTGTATACTGTATACAGTACACTATACCAATAAATTACAATATTATTATTACGATATAAATAAATCGGATCCTTTCATCTAGGATTATGAACACCATATAATATATACCTATGTAATATTGTGTGTGTATGTTTATTTTTGTCCTTCAGCCTAGTAAAAAAATGTCGTATAAAGCGTTTGACACAAATTTAGTTTGACTACGTGATGTATTTTAATATTTTATGATAGAACTAGGAAATACAAGTATCCTAGGCAAATTATTATAATAAGAGCGATGCTAATTTTAGTTTGTGGTCATAACACACTCGCTTAACCGATCCAGCGCTCAGCTATTATGGATGTGCCAACGCTTGGTATGACGCGTGCCAAGAAGTTTATTATTATTATATTAATAAGCGTGTATACGACACTAAAAGTTTATCGAGTGAGTATGTATATATAATGGGAAAAAGTCAAATTTGCACATGTACGAAATGCAGAAACCTAGATTAAAAATAGAACATATGTACATCGTTTCGGATAGCTAAACATTATAAATTGATGTTCAGAGATAAACATTTTGAATACAATATATTAACAATTTCTATATATATATATATATTATGTGAACATTATTCATGTAATATATACCTATATGTGTCTACATGAAACCAAGTTCATTATTTATACAAACATAATATAGGTTAGTAGGTGGTGTACAATATGCAGATATTTTTTTTAAACTATTGCTCCATTGTTTTTACTAAGAAGATATTTATATTATCTATAATGATTTTTTTTGTTTTAACTTTTAAAACCGTACCTACAATTATTTATCTAATTAAAACAGTATTTAATTATTTATTACTTACAATATACTAATTATTAAGACTGATAAATGTATAGGTTAGGTTATTCATTCAGTCCAGTAGGTACTAAAGGTACTTAAAGCTTAAAAGTATTATGAGATGATAATACTTGTGAGTATAGGTAATAGATACTTTTTGTTTATTAATAACATTTGTATCGATGAAAAACATAATATAATAATATGTAAAGAAGTGAGATGTGAATGCATAATATAAATAATAACAAAAACTACAATTAGGTATATCATAAGTATGTAGGTATTTTTAATCGAGACCTATACTCTATTTAATAAGCAATTTATTTATTATTTATTTATTTATGCTGATAAATTCGTATAGAACAGTTGATATGAAATACAACTTATTATTACTTATAGGTAACAAAATGTATTAATTTTTTATTCGGTTTCAAAAATTACTCATAGGCAGGAGAAAAAATTAACGCGGAACACACGACGTTCACAAATAGCACGTAGTTACCTGAGATTTGTTCTGGTGGTAAATCTTCCTACAAAACAAATAACAAAAAACAAATTATAGATTTCAGCCAAGAACATTTTATACGCGCGCATATAATAGGTGTAAATAGTAGAAGAAAAACTGAATGAAGATATTTATTTGGCAACTGAACACATACAATTGTAATTTTGAATCGAATTTCCAACGATTGGCAAAACAATAATTGTCTGCCAATGTGCCAATTTATCTTCGCTCTATATCTTGGCAGATGACAAAACTCATCCAGCAGGTACAAACGACAATAATATATATATGTAGGTATATGTGTGTCTTTCTTTTTTTTTTTTTTACACGAGTTAATAATAATTAAACAAACTACAACTATTTAACAATATAGTATGGTGAATTGCCAAATTTTTCATTCATCGACTCATCTACGGTAAACGATATAAAACAACACAAAACATTATAGGTACCTATAATATTCTACTTACCATTTTTTTTGTTTGAAATTAGGGAAATCGACTTAAACAAACGACGGGAACGTTTCGAGGAAAAAAATTGTGCCGTGCGTTCGCCGGTTGTGAACTGGAGAACTCAGATTATTACAGTGAATCGCAAGCCTGCACCCCCACCGTTTCTGAATTTTCTGTCTCCGGGTCTGCCGTTAATGTGCTCACCGAAGTCGAGGAAAGGGACGATGTGAAAATAAAACCGATAAAATTAGAACTTTTGGAAGACGATCGTCTACGACACTCTACGGCACTGTATTGCCCGCGTGATGTAGTCAATGGCATCATTTCAGACTAACACGCGTTTGCTGGTATCCGATAACAAGTCACATTTAATTTCTAAGAAAATAGCGTTAAAAAATTTGAAAACTGATCGGCATTATCATATTAATATCACTATAGGAGGTACATTATTGCACTCTTAAGTGTTGGTCATCGAAAATTTATAAAATTATAAATAACATCCAATTTCCAATATATGCAGTTTTTGAATTCAGGGAGAATTTCGAGCAATTCATAAAAAAAAACTCATTAGTTGTTATATAAATAAGGTTTTTTTAACATGTTAAAATATTGTCAAACAGGTAACTGTGACATGGGTATTTCAATGTCACGTGTAAAATTACATCGCGGCTTATATAACTTGCTAATTGAATATCCACAACACTGAATAGAAACGAATGAAATACATTAACCTTTCACGTAGGTAACATTGAATACTACAAATAAATAATAATACGTAGGATAACAAGATCAGTTAGGTAGGTACCTATTTAATGCTTTATAGGTAGCCGTTATTATATTATATTATAATACAAAACGTAAAATAAAATAATATAATTGTGTGTGACAATAATGTTATATTATATTATATTTTAATGATCAATATTATGATTTATCATTTGTGATTATATTTTATTCGTTTATAATGTATTTTAAAAGTATTCGGATGACAAATGCTTAAAGAAAACAAAACATTTATATTTTTAAAAGAGAAATAATTGGAATAGAAAAGAGTTGGGATGAAATAAAATAGGACCATTCCCATAAAATCATATCGTTATAATAGATATGAGGCCAAGTTTTGCGGGTGGCAGTATTACTAAGACTTAATGCGGCAAAGATATACATAAAACAGTTCGCAGAGTGTTTATACGATTTAATAATAGATTCTGTGGACCAAACATAATATCCCACACAAACCCATTTAGTTGCACTCACGAATTTCATACTGACACCATTTCGTCCTTAAAATATTATTCTAATTTACAATTTATCATACGATTACAACTTGCAATACGTCCATATCTGCAGGTATTTGGATTGATTACCTAAGGTTATAATTGATTAGAAATTTGTGTACACAAGTTCATATTATTGTTAGTTATTATAACATAAATAAACTAATAATATGATTGTGTTAAGGGAACTTATACTATGCATGTAGAATCAATCAATCTAATTCTTGGATAAAATATTCACAAACCTACCATATTCTATCACCTATCATTCTTACATATTATTTTGATAACATGTAATATTAACTATTATAATTTTTATAAATTTAATTGTATGTCATACCTACAATATGTCGTTAAATATAAATGTACAACACCTATTAATAATAATTCACGCAGGCAGTCATAAATCATAAAAGTGGACGAAATAAAAAAAGAAATAGATAGAAGGTACCCTCAATAACCGCTTTTCCTTAGTCTATTATTATTAGTTACCTAGGTACTATCGACTATTGGTCGAAATACAACCAGAAAAAAACCGTTTTAACTGTAAAATCAACACACACACGCTCTAAAATTTTGAATTTCTTAGCCACTGTGTTTTCGGTATTGGCTTTTGCACTTATTTTCCTTTTATTATTGTATGAAAAATTATTAAAATTTGTATTTCGTATGTACGTGTTTTAGTCTATAATAGCTACAAACAAACAGACTTTGCCTTTTGATATTCACATTTGAATTACAAACAATAATTAACCATTATTTTATATTATTTTATATATTGTGTGGATTACCGCCTGTCTGTTAAACCGCCGTCGTGTCCGTCCATCCCCTTGCTACCAGTAGTTACATAGTTACGATTGTTGGTATTAATTTTTCCATTTTAATATTGCTATTCATAATTATTGAAAACAATTTTAATTCAAAACATATAACTTGAAGCACACTTAACTAGAGTCTTACACACATTTTAATACTAAAATTCAATAAATAAATAGTTTTATAATGGTTGGTTACTTGGTTCTGTTCAAAGTAAATTCATACTACCCAGTATTAAAAATATCAAAAATATCAAAATATGAGAATTTACTCGTATTATTTAATATAGATTTAACTAGGTAATATTAAAAAGTGTATTAAAAAATATACAAAAATGTAAAGGTTGTTGAAGTGAGTACGCATGGAATCATTGTTTATTGCTTTGTATATAATATTAAAAATTCAAATACACTTAGAAACCTAAAATTTAGCGCGCTTGCAGAGTGGGCTTTCCTAACTTGTTTAGGTTTCTAAAGTTCTAAACATACGTCTGTCAGTACGTCTGTCCGTTAGTTACCAGTGTATAGTTACGGTTGTTGATTTTAAGATATTTATTTGTTACCTACTGTTTGTATATTATAGTAACTGTGAATAGTTACGATTGTTTGTAGGTATTAAGTATTAAGATATTCAATTACGATTGTTGATATTAAGATGGTTACTTATTGTATAAATATTTAATATAGATTCATAATATAGTTAAAATATACTATCAAAGTATCAAAGTTACCAAACTATTTTAATATTGTATTTATAATTATAAGTTTATGTTTGAAAACCGGGAATTATTAGCACGCTCGCAGAGCTTTTCTAAATTGTTTATACTTCGTATTACCCGACTTCGCCCGGGAAATTTATTTTATTTTATTTTGCTACTTGTTTTGTGCTTTGCTATGTGTTTTTCGTTACGATTCTACTCGATATTACCTTTCCAATGATATATTTATTTTTTCCTATGAACGGAGAAATCGGTACGACAAAAAAGTGCAGTATTAATGTATATTGTATAATATATTAAATATTTGTGCCGTTGTCCGTTATAGTATAGTTATAGTAATAGGTATAAGTTGGGTATTTCAAAATTTTAGAATTTAGTATAACACTATATAGTCGATACCTACGCGTGGGTGTGGCACTTTAACATGATACAGCACGTCGACAGGACAGGTTCCGATTAGGGGCGTCATTTCAGTTTTTTCAAGATTTTAGGCAGGCCAATTTTAACATTAATAGTAAATATATATTATATATATATATATACATTAAACATAAATAGTAACCATGCCGCTTTAAGTATTTAAGTATGTTAGGTAATATTATCTACGTCCCTTTTATAATCCTAATAAAAAATTACTCATAATATGATCAACTAATTTATATCGTAATTTTCAAATAGCTAGCAGTTCAATGTATTAGAATTTAGAAGGATTTTAATAAAAGCATATAAGCAACTAAAACAAGTAGCAACTTAGCGGCCAACAGAAGCCATTTTACTACTATTTGGAGAATTAAAAGCAAATGCGGTTTAAGGAATTATTTTTAATAAATGTAATTCAAAAATTAAACACTATTCAATATTCACACAAAATAACACATTATTAGTTATTTTTCTACAGGTTCTAACATATTATCAGCTATGCTATGCTCACTCCACTATAGCTGATACCAGCAGGCTGACACGAACTGCCTTACATAATAAAACTACAGAATAAGACTCGCATCACATGGTTATCAAATAGGGATATATTTGATAATAAAGCTGATAAAGCTGATAAAAAAAATAAATTTAAATTACATGTATGAATCAGTGGCGCCAAAATATATATTTAATTGGTGTATAGTAAGGTAATTATAATAAATAGGTGGTTGTCAAAATTGTATGTGGAGGTGTCTAATGTCATAGTTAAAATTTTGAACTTCAGCACCACTGGGCCAAGAATATTTTATTAATTTTTAATAGTTATCATATTGGCGCATAGAAGCATTAATAGAGGGCCAATTATTTATTCTATTTTGTTAGTGGCGTCGTCGCACACCCTGCCCACTCCCAAATGACGCCCCTGGTTCCGATGATCCCTAAGACAACTCATCGTCTGTACTTGGACGGTTTTTTTTAATGAATAAAAACACTCACAGGTTTCCTAGTAGTCTAAAAGTAAACGTTCTACGTTCATTCCTCTGCAATTTTCTCCCAATTTCCCTTAATAATTATTATTTAAATATTTATTTATTAGCTATCGTGTTACGATATAAATCTAAGCTCTAAAGTACACCTATCTATTACCTACATAAACAATGTGAAAATAACACAAATAAAGAAGAGTGCAAAAATAACCTTCGTGTTTTTCTTTATTGCCTCACCTCCTTTACACGCTCTACTGATGTAACGTTTTCATCTACCCTGCACTACAGTTATCGAGCTATTTTCGTCCACTTATTCGTCAGCCAGGAATAGGTACGAAATATGAAGTATATAGTGCAAAGGATGGTGGCATTTTATGTGTATTTTCCATCGCACCTGCAAGCTGTTACTCCTGTAGCTTTTATTTGGATTACAGCTGCTGACCGGCGTTAACTGTCAGCTGTTCCTCGAATATTTATTCATCAAAGTTATCGGATTCACGGGTTATACTTATTTATACTAATGAATTTTTCTACTATTTATACTTCGTGTTCCTCCGACATCGGTTGTTTTGAAGAGAACGTGACAATATGATATTATATATTGTATATTATATTCTCGCACCCCAGCGAAAAAAATATGAATACATTTTAATACAATTAAAAAAATAAAATTAATTTTCAGAATAGCCAAAGTATATAGTTAATACCTACTCCGTTTTGGTCTATAGCTCATCATTCAACGATCAGCTCTTTCGAGAGTTATAATATAACGTAATATAATATATGTAATATAAATTATAATTAACTTACAAAAACATCTAGGTGATAATATTATTGCACTGCAGATAAAATACATTATAGCCTATATAGGTATACGTTCCGTAATTGTTTTAGACATAAGTAGGTACGCACATATTTTTTTATAAATTTGTCAGTGACGCGTATATTTTGTTTGTATATTCAATCAATTTCAACTGTTAAGTACCAATGTCACTGACGACAAACCGCTTAGGGTCTACCGCGGGGGTTTTGCGCATCGATCCGATATTTTACAGTAGCTATATCTAACCCAATATTGACGGGCTCTTAAAAAGCGAAACCTATATGCAGTCAACAGCAGCCAGCGAACAACACATACGCATTCTGAAGCTTCACCCGTCGATATCGTTTGAAGTTAAGTCATTGGCCTTATTTGCATGTGCTTTACGTATATTATTATAGTGTTGTTATTACGCAAGTTTCACGTGACGTGTCATTGAACGAATATATACTATATGTTAATATGTTATGTTTATAAACATTTTACAAGCATTTAGTGTGAAGATTTGAATTTGTGGGACACCACCGTAAGGCTCGTTTAAATATAGTAGGTATGTCGTAACCGGTTTGGTCGGTTAGCATATTATAATATCGCATATTATTATATACTTTAATTAATAATAATATATAGATACGCCTTACGCACTGTGCAGGCGCGTATTAACCACAAATCTCATGATTCGTAAATATAGACGTTATAACTTATAAGCAATATGGCCAATGAGCCGTGAGGCATGGTAATGACACTAAAAAGTTAGGTAGTGTTTGCGTATCCATATCTACGTTTGTTTGTATCTACAGTCCTACATACAAGCCGACACGTAGTAAATTAAATTCCATTAACCAGTGCCACGATCGGTTGATCGGTACCTACCAACATTGATTTTACGTCGCGAACTCAAACTCGTTTGAATGGTAACCTATTTGAAACCAAGGGGTCCATTAGGGTGTGCAAGGGGTGACGATTAAACCATAATATACTTATGATGACTAATTAAACGGCTCCAACTCCAAAAAACAGAACTATAACGAAGAAAATGCTTTTATATAGGGAACCCGTGGTATAGATGAATATGCGAATATTTGCGAAACCGCTTCAATCACTATCATGTCAAAAGACTTACCCAGATACTGTACGTGTATACACCCATGATAGGTGTACATGAAAATAAATTTCTTATCTGTATGACTGTATGGTAATATATTCTTCTATTTTCCAACTGCCGCTGCTTAAATAATTAAGTACTAGACGTACAGCTATATTCGACCATTTAACAAAAATATTAATCAATACTTGTAATGTTATTAACACATTCATCCGAAATTTAGGAATTTTAAGTGACTTGACAAGAAAAGTAGACAAACCAAACCAAAATAAATTAGAGCCAAATATTACAAAAAAATATTAATACCGCTTTGTTTATTTCTTAAATAATATAATACAGTAGAATAGTAGATATAATAATTTGCGTAAATATATTATAATTGTATACTATTTATTAGTAGGTATGAAAGTTATATTGGCAGGGACAACTCACACCTTGTATACAATGATAATATATTCAAGGGCACCTGAAGACATTTTCTCAATTGGTGCCAACAATTTGAAATCTCCTCTTCCCTACACTTGTATCGAAAAAAATTCCTTTTTATTATTTTTTTCTCTTCAAACTATTAAGGAAATTATAATTGTAAATAACAGTTTGTTGTTAGTTCAATCTATTATAAACGATATTTACTAAATAGCACAATGACTTTTTTACTAAAAAAGTATGATAAAAACAATTTATTATTATTATTAATTAAAAGGTAATAACTACCAATAAAGTAATAACTAATATTATTATAACTGTTTTGAAAAATACTTATTATGACTCACATATATTGCTCACCATATTTATAGATAAGAAGAAGGTCTTTTAAAATGTGTGAAATAATCTTTGCCATTAAAAAGGTTTTAGATTCTGAGATTTTACAATGATGTGTGTGTTTTTATTATTTTTGTTCTGTCACCACCGTTGGGGCAGTAAAACTGCTAAAATTGTCTTCAACTATATCTTGTTCGATGGGAAATTGAAGCTAGTTGATGCATTCGAGAGGTCAAAATTCCCAATAGTTTTCTAAAGCGTCAGGAAAAACAACATAAAAACTAAGGAAAAACTGAAATTTTTACGCAAAATCGGTTATCGATAAAATCGATTTTGGTTTTTGGCTTAACCCTAAAACATATGAACATATGAACGTAATTTTCACTGGTTGCATATATTCGAAATTTCTATGCACGATTACATTTTCAAAATATTTTGATTTGTTTTGAGCTGTTTAGGGACATTTTCAGTTTTTCAATATTATAAGTTTTTTTTCTATTAATGTCAATAAAATTTTATTTGTAAAACAGCTTGAAAATTTAATACAAGGCTGGTACTGTATTGTTACAATTATATTTGAAAAATAGTAATAATCCTTAGTCACAGTTTTTTTTTGTAAGCATTTAAGTTCAAATTAACCTAAATAATTAACCTAACCTAAATTCTGAGTTAAGAATTCATAAAAATTTTTCTTTTTAAATATGAGATTTGAAAATATAAGCAAAAATAATAGGTCATACTTACAAATTATAACAAAATTGTTGTTCGTTTCGGCATCTGGGATGTGCATAATACCATTATTCAATTATTGGTTCTACCTACCATCTACCAATCATATTGTTATATTATGAAATTTATAAGAGTTAAGCTCTTTGAAAATAGGTTGATACTGGATTACTCGCCCATATTGGATATTAACCTACCAACAATATAGCAGAGGTAATATATTGGAGATTTTAAATGAAGAGTCCACTTATTAGTTATTGGTAACGTACCTATACGCCATGGCCCGATGGATAAGTTTCGTATGTGATTTGTGTGGTACATAAAAATGATGAATAGAGAGACATAGGTAGAACGATGGAAGGCAAACTACGAGACTACGAGTGCCGTCTTTAAAATTGAATCCAATTCCAGCCGAGAACAAATTTTCCCGAAATAGCCTAATGTCAAGGACACACCAGCAATAGTTATTGGAAGAACTTTAATTATTAATACCTATAATTTTATATTATCGTTGGCAGCACTCCAATGTGCGATCTAACGATACCGTTCGATCTACTTAATACTAATTATAGTAATAACTTACTGTTACTGGTCTTGTGAAATAATGGACAATGTTTCATTAAGTATCATCAGTTCAATTGCCTACAACAATTCTGAAATAAAATTGACGATTTAATATTATTTACTACCTATTAATATTGAAGAGGACACCTGAGTCCATCTTATAAAATTATAACATATGAAATTTGCGATGAACCAAAGCTTAAATTATTTTAAAATATAAGAGATATTTGGGCAGATTGTTTTTATAAGTATTTATTTGAAGTTTAAATTTTCAAAAAATTGGACAAAATTATGAAAATTTGCATTTTATTTTGTAGTAAGTAACACATTTATAAAATGTTCAATTTGTATAGTTATAATGGCTTAAAAATGTAATACGAAGTTAAGCTAAAAGTGAAGGTAAAATGTAATACGAAGTATAAGTAGTTTATTATGGAACTAAATAATCCGATAAGTATAATATATTACAAGAACAATTTTTTATAGACCTTTTATAAGTTCAAATTTGGGTGAAATTAGATATTTAAAGGAAGAATAACAGCTATAGATGTTTTATTATATTTCAAAAATATTTTACGTGTGGACTTATACATTTTCGTATATAATTATATTTTATGTACACAATAACATTTTAAAAATATTTGGTTTAATTTAAACCTATTAACTATTTATACCGCAAACCTATTCACACCGTTCTACTGAAAGATGGTATATATTCTAAAGTAACATTTTTTGGTCAAAATGTTTGACGTGTTTAAATTATTTTTAGTTTGGATTAGTTATAGAATTTTGGTTTTAAAGTCTGGTTTTTTTGAACTTCGAACAGTTCAACCCACCTGTACTATAAATATAACAAGGCGTATTGGATATGTAATTTAGATACATCACTTTTATGGTGGTACATAATGTACATACAATTATTTCCAACATAGCTCAAAAAATAACATTCGAGTTAATATAACAATATTTTATTAAGTAATAATAATGTTCCCAACATCGTGATGGTTACGAAAAATATGATCTATAAAAATATAAAATGAATCTGTTCGTGTTGGATAATAACAATCTTATAGTTCATTAAAATTGAATTTCCCTAAAATAAGAATTCCTTACTATTCTCAAGCCATCAAAATTATAAAATGTTTGGGAAACTTTATCATAATAGTTTGAAAAAATGTAGAGTCATGTTTGGATACAATAAAATGAAAGGAACTTGGTATGTCTCTATGCACAAGATTTAAATTTATGCATATTTTATCAACATACATTTTTTCTTTTACCCGGAACTGACAAAGATAGTTGTAGAATTTTATTTATAATCATTTTATGATTAAATTCTCAACCAGGGTAGAAGAATGTACCTACTATCAATAAACAAGTGAAATCAAGTTAAAAGTTCAGGCGTTGTAATTTATAATTTTGTACAATTGTTGACAAACCACAAACTGTATATCAGACTTTCTCGTAGTTCATTCAGCGGATTAGAAATTTAAATAGAAAATAAATAAGATTTTTTTATTACACTTCATTACACATCTTCAGTTGTTTGAAAATACTATTTTTTCGATCCATGGAATATAATTGGCGACTCTAGTATAAATTCCGGGTGTATCCTTGTCGGCACAAAATCTCCCAAAAGATGTAATCCCGTATTGTGTATACATGCCCGTGTAGTTGGCATGTTCACATTGAAGTGGACCTCCCGAATCACCCTATAGTAAATTTGATATTATTAAATTATATAGTAACATACAAATCATTACAACTAGAATCAAAGTTCTTACCATGCAACTGTCTTTTGTACCATCAAACGAACCCGCACATATCATGCTATCAGGTAATATTCCAAATCTTAATTTTGGATCATTATAATAACTTTCGTTGCAGTGTTTCATCGAGTAAATATCCAAATCCACTTTTAACAAATTGTCACTAAGTGGTCCAGCTAGAAAATTGTAAAGAAAAGAAAAAATATTAACTTTTCACCTATTATGGTTGTGGTTAATTGCTACTTTTTTTATTTTAGATTATCATTTAAATTTTAAACCAACCCGTTGAAATTCGTCCCCAACCAGTAGCTATTTGCTTTGGTGGAGTTAAATTCGGATCAGTGTTAAGACAAATCGGTCGAACTTTTTCGGAAAATACGACGTTCCTCTCCAAACGAAATAAAGCTATATCGTTGTACAACGAAGGTGGATTGTAATCGGGATGTATTATATGCTCAACTATTTCATAGTCATTGGGCCGATCTACGTTGGTTTCATTAACGACTCTTTCTAAAACTCCAAGGCGAGCCCAACGAGCCATATTCCTTAAAATTAAAAGAAATGCACAGTATTGGTTTTAAGTTACTTAAGCAGTTTTTAATTTGTTCTATCATATTTACCCAGAACTTTCTAGACAGTGTGCAGCAGTCAATATCCACCTTTTGCTTATCAGCGAACCTCCACATTTCCAATCCTCTCCATTTGTTGGGGTGGCACCATAACCTAATAGCACCTATAGTTATATGTTTACAACAATAAATAATAATATATTCTATACCTATATTGACTTTGAATATATTTAAGATTAAATATTACCATGTGTGGAAACTCTTGAGGTTTGGCTGGTGTACCACCTACTGAATAAGGATGAGGAATTAGAGCTCGACGTTTACGATTCAATATTATAGTGGGTAGAAACTCTTCTTTTTGAGTTGGTTTGCCTCGCACAGATGAAGGCTTGTATTTATTTTTAACTAATTTAGAAAATTGATAACATTCTGCAAATTATTTAAATGACAACATTTAGTTCGACAGATGTGATTATTTAATTGGTTTAACTGTGTAAATAACACAGTAAATACTCAAAATCAGTTAGAACTAAAACCGTCATTTTTGTTATTTTTCGAACCTCAAAAGTCTATAAAAATAACAGAGTTTACATATATTTTTTACATTTTTGGTTTCAGTAAGACCTGCGGAATTGTGTATTCAATTTTCAATTCTACATTTCTATAGAAAGGAATCTAATTTTCGTAATTCTGTCTAAATTTAAATTTAAATTCTTATGAAAAAGAATCATGCTTACATTTTTACTTTTGGCTCCTTAAGGCTTAAAGTAGACTCTAATTTACCAATTAGCCCCATTTTATTACCAGAATCAGTAACCACCATGAACGTTGTAGATTGAAGTATTTTTATTGTTACGAAGGTTGATTAAAAGTGTCTCTAATAAAAAAAAAGTGTGTGTGTTATCAGTACGCGCGCGGGAAGTTAAACTTCTTTTGAATGGTACACGTGAGTGAGTGAAAAAGAAAGAAAGGCATGGATAGACTGGGTAATGAGGATAATAAAGAAATAAAAGAAACAATGTAAATTATATTTTTTTTTTAATTATTATTATTTATGCTAATGATTGATTATCATTTTGCTCAATCGGTATAGTAGTTATGATTGGCATATGATGACTGAAATACGAAACGTACATTTGTGACTGAACATTATCCATATATCGCGTAAAAATTGCATCGATTGTTGTGCCTGATTTAGTAGTCGATATTGTTGGATCATTATTCAGTTGCAATAATATATGATATAATATATAAATTACAGGCTTTATTGTAACTTGCAGTAGGACACTAATTGTGCATTAGGAAATATAAAATGTGCAGTTGGCTAAGCGAATATGTGCACTTGAGAAATACAACAAAAATTAGATTTCCAAAATTATTTAAATTTTGCATGATGTGTTATCTTATATTTATATTATTTTACTACGTAGTACATGAAATACTGAAAATTGAAATCAGTCACGCCCGATAACGAATGACGACTACGCGCTCGCTATCTACTACGCGCTCGCTATCTACTACGCGCTCGTGTACAAATGACTACGTGAATGGTGCATTATTGCATTAGCAAAATGTATTGTTAAACGTTAGAATCGTTAGATAATATTATAAACAAATTAATTAAATAAAAATATTAAATATTTTAATACAGAAATTGGTATCGAATTCACCAACTTGTAAATTTTATTAGATACTTTTAATTGAAATTCACTTGTCTTTATCTTTCGAACAATTATTTTCTACATATTTAATTTTTTTGTTTAGGTTATTCATATTTTATAATATAAATAATAAGTATGACATCGAATAGTTTGAATAATTGGTTAGTGAAATCGATAATGGCACCTTCCACGTCTTTAGATTCATCATCTGCTTTATCAGAATCAATAACATCTCATTACACTAACACAAAAACTTCTTCATCAGAAAGTCATGTAACAATCACAGAAACTACAACAACCACCACAACTTCACGTGATTTTTCTTCATCGATTGAATCAACTCAAAATAGTTTTATCAAATCCCTCTATGATTATGACCGAAAAGCCTAAACTTTCCAAAACATTTGATCATATGAGGAGGTAAACATTTTGTTAGATGTATAATATGTCACAAATTCCCAGAACTTGTCAAAATGTATTCTAAAAAAACTCAAGTTCCAAAGATCTGTCAGGACTTAGGTGCCCGGTATAGAACTGTAACTATTGATGAACATCTTAAACAGGATTACCACAACGAATGCTTAAAAGCATTCAAAATAAGCAAAATGTATATAATGCTAATGACGAATTAGTACAAGTTCTTAAGCCATTTATTAGTTTAGGCTCATTGACACAAGACCAATTAAAAAAAGTACATAAGTTAATTGGGAGGGATTTAGACTTATCAAATTTTGTACTCGAATATGAAGAAATTCAAGAAGTTAGTAACATTGAGAACCTACGAAAAATGTCTATGGCCTCTTTTGTTCAACATCTTTCTAAATCTGGATCATTTAACACCATACTAACTATTTTTTCTCGAGTTTTCGCTGCTAAACCACATAGAGCAGATGTAGAGCGTCTCATCAGCACAAGTAACATTTTAAAATCTGCTGATAGACAAAATTTGCTCGTTGAGTCGGAAAACGATTATTTGTTTGTTCATTTCAACATGCCACCTTTATCCTTATGGGACCCAAGAGATGCAGTTTTATCGTGGACAAATGAGAATAGTCGCCGAGTAAAAGAGACTCCTAAGGCACGCGAACAAAGTTGGTTCAAAGGAGTGTTCGCAGAAGCATCTCAAACTCAAGGTGTAAAAAGGGATTTACAAGATATTGAGAATAATACAGCAGAAAAGCATTCCAAAAACAGATTATTTTAAAAAACAATTTTCATCCATAAATATATTTAAAAATATTATTATTATTATGTTTAATAACTATTTGTTTACTAAATAATTCATAATACAATTAGTTTGACAATTTTTCGTGTAAAGTTTTTTTTTATAGTTTAAATATAGTATTTAGTGTAGAGCCCCCACTTATTACTGTAACATATATTTTATTTGTGCAGTTGGAAAAAATCCTTACAATAAAGCCTGATAAATTATAATATATAATATAACAACACTACCATGACAATATTTATTTATTTACGGACATGTACGCTTTCGCGTTCGTACGGCCGCCCGTTCGCTTTTTTTTCCTCACTACCCTGCGTAAAGAAGTATAACTTCAACACAAGAAAATTAAGTAAACAATTGGGTTAATTAATTGCTGTTCCACTCAGAATCAATTATACTAAGCATGCAAAATAATAAGCATGAGGCAGAGTCTTTCCAAATGAATATATATAGAAGCCTTTGGAAAAAAAAGTTATGTAGAACAAAATAGAAAAATATTGTAATTTGTAAGGAATAACTTCTAACTGATTTTGGGTATTTACGTATTTAGCTTATGGGTATATAACATAAATATGTAATACGTTTTCATACTTTCATCGGCAGATATTGATAGTTCTGCATTTTTAGTTTTTAGTAATTCATTAGCCGTTATCGGACAGCAAACTATCGGCCGTAAACCAACGAACTTACATACATCAAGATAATTACGGGTTCTAATACTTTCTTTGAAAGCGTTACAGTGTCTTGCAGCTTTACACACATACTTTTGATTTGATTTAAGTGCTTTCCGACAAATCTCACCTGAAAGAAATATACATTTAACATTTGAGCTAAAAATTATAGCTTAATAATTTTTTTGTATACCTAATTTTTTATATTTTAAGTTTTTTTCATGTAATATTAGGTTGGGGTTATATCTATATAGTACTAAAAATCGTTTGGATATCATTGTGAATGGAACACATGGAAATCACTTAATAGATTGAAAGTGGGTGTAGCCCTAACAAAGAAAAATCTATGTAAGTGGCGTACAATACGGAAACCGTAGAATGCGATTGTGGAAGTGAACAAACGGAACAACATAATATCACAGATTATAATAATATGATAATAATATAATCTGTGATAATATACTCATATGTCCCCTGAACTCTGTGTCATGCGGAAGCAATTGACGCGAATAAACAAGAAGCCAATCAATGGAGTAATAAAGGAGTATAATATACACAAAGCATCTATATCATAGCCCGGGTAAGATAAGAAGAAGAAGTACTAAAACATTTTAATGTCACTATATAAAAAGAGCTCAAAACTGTTGAATAAAGAAAAAAAATAGTAGAAAAAAAGTTATTTTTTACATAATAGGTACAGTTATAGGTAAAATACTCTTCGAAATAATTAAGGTCAGCGAGTTTTATTCAAATATGGCTGGTGTTTTAAATATTTTCAGAGTTTCATAATAATTATTCAACATTCAGTATACAAAATAATATGTCAAAATAGCGCATTTTAAATTGTAATACTTTTTACTAAAAACATATTTAGAAGTAATTATAATTTATTACAATAACTTGAATACAGAGCAGTCGAAGTATAATCCTAGTATGAATATTCTATTTTTATTATATTATCATTATTAAAGGTTTTTATTTAATTAAAAGTTTTTCTTTTTATTAATGTTAATAATCATTAGTCAATACAATTTATTGAAATTAGTTTTTATTTAACTTCGAATCTTGTCTGTTTGTCCTCTCGATATCTCGATAACGTCTAAACATACAGGGATAAACTTGGTATATTCTGAACCATTTTGATCTCTAATTTTGCACGACGAAGAGCTCTTTCTAAAATTTAAGTTGGTTGACCTTCAAAAGACAACTGCGAATCTATGCCTATTTAAGTTATAATAATCAATAAAACATAATATATATTATATATCGATGGTAACTATCGATTATTTCACTATCGTTTTTCCTTCACCTGCAAATGGATTTATTTTAATTTAACCTTCAAAAGACAACCGCATATATATATACGTATGTATATTATATATATATATATATATATGTATGTATATTTATGTATATCACGTGCAACCGTTGCAACTGAGCCAATATTATTATTGTAAATTAATGTATATTATATTAAAATAAAATACAATTTATAATTATAGTTAAATTAAAACACCTTTTTTAGTTTTTTAAAACTAATTTTTTATTATTATGCAGAAACTGGAAATTTAATTTATTATATAACAATGGATGTGTGATTATATAAGTATTTAAAATATAAGTTATTTACAATAATATGTACCTGCAATTAGATCGTATGACAAATTACTCTGAGTTGTTTGCAGTCGCGTAATTTTTTTTTTTGGTACCTACGCATAAATATTGTGCAGGCCACTATGTTTTTTGAAATCTTTTACATTATATTATGCTAATTTACACAATTAATAGGAAGTTAGACGTAACTATTTGATTCAAGTTACCCTTGATTAGGATTGGGGAAGGTTTAATAGTATTAATTATTCAAAAAAGCCATCCTTGCATCCACAGCTTAATCAATATATTTGTTTTTAGCTGTTTTTAACTATAGCAACAATGCCTTACATCTTAAATTCTGCTGTATCTAGTGGACTTAAAATTATAATAGGGAGCTTTACAGGGTACCCACCCAAATGTATACCATGCGTACCGTAAACGATACACCTACTTTGTTGAATTATTTTTAAATAATATAATATTAAAAATTTAGTAATATAATCGATGTAATTTTTTAATTAAATATTTTTACGATTCTCAAATATTATAATAAAATTATAGCTATAGTGTCATTGAATATTTATGAGTCTGATTTGTTATATCTGTGAATACTAATATACAAATGCCGCCATCCCTCGATCGGGCATGGCAGAAACCCACAGGTTCCCAATTC